GTAACTTATTTCATTGTAGTCTTATCTCTCTCTCTCTCTCTCTCTCTCTCTCTCTCTCTCTCTCTCTGTTTGTTTGTTTTTGCGTGCGCGTATGTAAATAGATAATTACACATATACTGTGCATATTCTCTCCCTTACTCCTGAGACACACACACACACACACACACACACACACATACACACACACACACACACACACCATCATTTGCAGTCCCATGATCTTTTGATAAACATGAAGAGGCTATTTTTATCTCATGGATTATGTGTGTGTGTGTGTGTGTGTGTGTGTGTGTGTGTGTGTGTGTGTGTGTCTTCTCAAATTACCTGTGTGTGTAGGAGGCGGCAGGTAAATGGCTTTGACATTCTATCCCAGGGTTTTCATTTTTCTTTTACGTATTTGTGATTGTTTTTTGCCAGTCTGTGTTACCTATCTACAGCCTGTCTTTGTATCTATGTCTACAGCCTGTCTTTGTAAGCTCGTGCGTGTAACCTGTGCCAGAAGGATTTTTTTTAATATTAAACATCCAGAGTACGACGATAACACCCAGAGTACAGCAAATAAACCCATTGAGTAAGATATCTTAAAGCCTTGAGTACAGTTACTTAATCCCATGAGTACTATGACTAATAGATTTTCAGTTAAAAATAATAATGATTGTTTTGACCGAGTTAGAATTCACCATTGTACAATTTTGATGTGTTGCATTTGCGGGGTGGACTGAGACAATAACTACACGGTAATTCAGCGACATTAAACTCAGTAACTCTTAACACGTCAGTTTGGTCTCCGTGTGAGTGTCATCAGCCCGCCATTATTATCTTACCTTGATTACGTCTTAACTCAACCTTCTGTGTCAACGTTACTTGGAGAAAGTTTTGGAGGGAGTTTTGATATATTTAAGTGATAACACGAGAGAAACAGAAGCAAGAGAGATGATGTGTGGAAGAGAAGAGAAAAGAAGAGAGAAGGGGGGGTAAGATTAGGAGAGACAAACTTTTATTCCTAATAGGCGCACTTCTTTTTTTTTTGGGATCTATATTGCTAATTAAGTGCATGTTGTTTAATAGCCTTTACCAGTCGAAGAGATTAGATATAAAAAAACGATAACAGCTACTCTCATCAGGTAAGGTTTTATTGAAGCCGATAAGAGAGAGATTACCGGCCCAGTTAACTCTCTCGTTATTAAAGGAATAGTTCTGAGTTTGTGAGGTAAAGGATACATTTACCGAAAGTCTATGGGCACAGAATAACTCATTAAGACACTGTATATAGGGCAAAATGGAAACGGATATATTTTTTTATTTTTTTGAGAGAGTGGGAGGTTCACATATACACGATGGACGTCTTCTGCACACACACACACACACACACACACACACACACACACACACACAGTCTCTTTGAACCCCTGAACAACTCCTATTATTGTGGTTTCTCAGTTAATTTCTAGGAAAATAATGTTTATTTCTGTACTAAAAGGACGATTCAATGTTTAAACCTGATCCTTGTGACTTACATTTCGGGTTAAATGATCCCAAGTCTTAACAGAACCCAAATTAACCATCTATAGACTTGAGGGTCTTTTAGAATTAGGACCAGGAAACACTTAGTCTCCGTTACAATTGGTCCCCATTAGACTTTGGGTCTATATTAGGACTGGGGGCTGATAAACACTATAGACCCCATTAAGACAAGGCCCTGTTAGGATTAGGGGCCCATTAGGAAGGCAATTAATTTCTTTTCACTCGTCTCTTTCAACAAATTTACACTTCCTCTCCATTAAATTCCCACTTCATTTCCTCTGTTTGTCTCTGTGTCTTTCCTTCCCGTTTCTTCTTTTTACTTCTCCGTTATTCTTCGTTCATCACCACCTATCCCCAACCTAACCCGCCTCGATCCTTAAATTAAAGCTAAAGTATTGTAATTTAACATAATCTTAACTTAACTTAACCTGACCTAACCTAACCTAACTAAACCTGACCTAACCTAACCTAACCTAACGTAATTTAACCTAACCTACCCTAACCTAACCACATTCCTAACGTAACCAAAACATAAAAAAACTAACCTAACCCAACTTTAACCCAGCCGACCATAACTCCCCTTAACCTACCCAAATTAAAGGTTTTCTATATGATAATTTGGGTATTTGCATTAATTTGGTCTCTTCTTCTCTTTCTCGTGTGGATTATTACCCTCTTCCTTTCTTTATCTCTTACTTTCTTTCTTCTTTCTTCTCTCACTTTCTTCCTTCTTTCTTCTTTCACTGTCTTCCTTCTTTCTTCTCTCACTTTCTTCCTTCTTTCTTCTCTCACTTTCTTCCTTCTTTCTTCTCTCCTGTGTATTATCTCTCTTCCTATCTTCCCGTTTCATTCTTTCTTTCTTATTCCATTGTTTTGTTTATTTTTATTTTTTGCTAATACGAAACTTGCTTACGATATTTTCTATTTTGTCTTACGATTCTTTCATATCTTCTACGATACTTTTTCCTCCTTCCTACGATACTTTCTCCCCCTTCTTTCAGACATTTCTTCTCTCCTTCCTTCCTTCCTTCCTTCCAGGAAGACACATCTTCATCTTTTCTTCTCTCTTTGATTTTCACTCCCTGTTCCCCTCCCTCCCCACCACCCTCTCCCCCACCCTATCCTCTCTCTACCCTCTCCTCCCCCTCTTCCCCACCTCCCCCACCCTCTCACTCTCCCCCACCCTCCCCCAGAGTACCAAGGTACCAGCAACCCAACCTTTCCCTGTTTGGATGTGTGGCATTTATCTATCAAAGGTCAGGTCCAAGCCTTATGTGGTGTTACCTGGTCTGCACGGTGGTACTGTACGGTGGCACGACGGCGGCACTGTATGGCGGCAACTTCCCAATCAGCTCCACAAGAGGGAAACTGTTCTATAGGTTAACTCGTATATGTCTGAGGCTTAGGTGTGTCGATGTCTTTCATGAGAACAAAATAACGCCTACCTGTCTCTTGTGTTATATAAGATCAGGATATACAGTGAGAACCTAACCTAACCTCCTGTCAAATGTTAAAACCCAAAACATAATTCTAGTATTTTGTTTATTTCAGATTATAAAGGAGCCTTTAATGATTGATCAGGATGGTGGACTGGACAGAGAGAACAAGTTACAGGTATATTAGTGATAAGTTATACAGTGTGTACACATCTTCACCTCTCTGGGTCGTTAAATCTTCTATGGTCGAGGATCATCTTATTCAAGCTGTGGTTCTCAAGCTTTTTTGAGTCATTACCCGTTTTTCACCTGGCAGCCGGCATTAATGACTCAGCCCACCTGGTGCCACAGTAACTACCTGCAACATGGACTGTGGTTATAAGATTAATGGAAGTATATTTACAGTTCAAAGGAAAGTTTTTGGTTCGCTCAACTCTTGTCTCTCAGTCACAAACAACATGAACAAGTTAATAATAATCAGTGAGACGGATGAGGTTGTTTTGGTGCTGTCAGCTGCTTGGTGGTAGATGGTGCCGCTGTGGCCCCATGTGACGCAGCCAGTTGCAGCTCTTTGTTCACACGCGGTAGATGCAGGATGAACCCGACTCCCACAAACACAATATCTTGTTGAAAATTTAGTCAAAAGTGTCAGTTCCTGCTTCGCGATATATGGTTACCTAATACAGTATATGTAATATATGTACTTACCTGTATTCGTGGCAGAGTGCACCATTACCTCACTAAAAAAAGTTATATAACTCCACCTCATATCTTCTACGATACTTTTTCCTCTTTCCTAAACAGTTCTGTACTATTTACTTTTAAACTTTGTCTGTTCTCTCGGCCAATTAAAACCGAGTGTTTGTTTCAACTCTACCTGGAAAAATATTTATAACAAATATCGTATACAACTACCTAATTGATCAGTCGTTTTGGAAATATTGTAATACTGCTTTTTACAGATGAAGCACGAGAATAATTTTGTTGTTAATTTTTGTAGATACATCCCTGGGTTTTTATTTATTCAACATTTAATAGAAAATATCAGAATTTGGAAAAAAAATTGGACACATACACGTAAGGTTTCTTGTTGACACCCCGCGAGGCGCTCTAATAACACCCCCCCCCCCTCCCCTAGTTCTCTCCCTCTTTACACCTTTTCTCCCTCCCTCTCCCTCTTCACACCATTTGGCTTCCTCCCCCTCTCACTTTTATCATATCCCCTCCCTCTCCCCTTTATATTCCCCCTCCCTTTCCCATTTTCCTATTTTATTTTTATTTTTTCATTGATTTGTTCACATTTTCTTGTTTTTCTTTCACTTTCTTACCGACAGTTGTGAGTGATAACACAAGAACGCCTCCGGTGATCTAGTGTATATTTAAGGGAGACAAGAGCACACGCCCTCTGTATTGCTCCAGGCTCATGATGTAGTCAGGGCAAAACAAAACAAAGATTCCAAGAGTTTAGTAATCAATAGACACATTCTGTTGACGACACACGTGGCTCTGATAACACACCTCCCCCCTCCCTCACAGGTTTTATCTCTTTTCACACCTTTTCTCTTCCTTGCTCTCCCTCTCCCTCCCGCTTTTATCTTCTTCCCTCTCCTTCACATCAGGAGCTTTTGTATGCCACAAAGTTTTATGTTTTAGGTCAGATTATTTGGTTATTTTCGCTCCCCACCAGTTTATATTACCTGATGATTACAATATCCTTACGCTACCTGGGAGGTTAGGTTAGGTTAGGTTAGGTTAGGTTAGGTTTCTTCAACAGGTGAAATATGCTGGGGTATCTAATCGTCAGATGATCCCTTATTTCGTATACAGGGACAGGTGTAGTGGTCGTATGGTACAGGAGTGGGTGTGAGTGGTGTAGGTGGGGTTAGGTAGTCTGCAGGAGGGTCTCTGTCATCACACTATTTACCTGTTGAGCATCGAGTGTCGCTGCTTGTATACCTGGATGTAGTATACTATAGCGCTTAAATCATCTATGACGTCATAATAGCAAGGAAGTAAAATTAGTGATAAAGATTAACTTACCGATAGTGGAGACAACAGTGTAGACAAAGTGGAAACTTCCAGCGAAGTCCCAGAGTCGTCTTGCCTGGGGCTTGTATCCCTCGTCAGTCATGTTGCCCCAGATGTAGAGGAGCTCCTCCACCCTCGACAAACTCACGTTGTTGTAGTTTATTTCTTCCTTCAGCTCACTCAGCTTCGCGTCGTACTGCTCCAGGTAATTGGTTCTTTCACGTTTTTCGTTTTCTTCCTCGAAGGCCTGGAAGATGAGGGCACCAACCACCATGTACAGCAGCAGCACCAGCGCCAGCAACAGAAAGCGGGCGTTATCCTCCTTCAGGGCCACGGCGTTCCAGAAGCGCGCCCTGCGGGGCACCACTAGGTGCCCGCTCGTAGGCATCACCACGTTTTCTGCATCAGGTTTGGCTGGTGCTGCAGACTCGCGTGACGTGGGGCACATGCATGCACAACACCCTCCTGTCGAGTTCTCTGAGCGCACCCACCCTTTCCCACACCCTAAGCTGTCCCCACTGCTGCTATCTACTGTACTGCTGCCAGAGGTATCACCAGAGTAGCTGTTGCTGTCGCTGCTGGTGCTACTACTGCCGTTGGTGGTTTTGTTGGCCCTTCGATTCGCGGTCTTGTTTTGGTCAGCTGTCCAGCCGTCCACTGTCCACACTTTGCCCTCTTTCTGAGTGGGCGCCAGGGGCTTCACTCCGTCTCCCACGCATTCTCCTCCAGCCCCAGCGCCACCTGCGCCCCACGCCCGTGCCAGGTCCGCCAGCTGGGCGTGCGTTTGATCGTCCATATGAACTACTACCTGGCCGGGCTGGTGAAGGCGCCGGGCCCGGCCCCCCGCTGCAGCATTTTAACCGATGTTGGGGCACACGGTGGTCACCTCCCGCCTCTCGAGATGCACCACACCGGTGACCTGCCCCGCCTCTCTACCCTTCTTGTTGATCCTTTTGACAAGGAATCTTTATGTTGTCACAGAGTAGAGTAGAGAAGAGTAACGCCCTCCTGTGGGGACGAGAAGCACCACATTTCGTCACACTGTCGTCACCGTCTCCCTCCTGCCTCGACTACGAGAGGCAGCCACCGGTGAGTTGTCTAGCTCCTCTCTCTCTCTGAAAAAAAGTGAACATATTAAGATCAATGGACACCGAACTCTTACGTCTAAAAATTATTATACAAAGTCGCTGGTGGACAAAACGATGACAGTCCGCAGCATTAAAGACTCACAAGACACTGCCTCTGAAAACATTGTTAAACAGAACGTTGATATAATTTACGTTAAAGGAGTCATCTGTGGACCAGGACCTCTTCTTGACGTTCTCTCATACGTTTAGGTTCCTTGTTTTTGTTTACATAATGGAAGAAGTTGCCCCACGCGTCGCTACTATAGATAATTTTAACGTAAGATGTCCATTAAGAACTTATTAAAGTCTCTTCACCTTCCTGGACCCTGAGACATGTTGAAGACTCTTACCTTTCTTCCTCTTCATTCTTATACTTCACTTCTCCACCCCTCCTCCATCTTCATCTCTTCTTTTGCCCTTTTCTCCTGATTCTCCTCCTCCTCTTTCTCCTCTTACTTTATCTCCTCCTACTGCTTCTCTTGCTTCTCCTCCTCTTTCTCCTTTCCCTCCTCTGTCTCCTTTACCTCTTCCTTTTTATTCATTTTTTTTCTTTTTCCACACCTCATCATCCTCTTCCACCTCCACCACCTCCTCGGCATCCTCTTTCTTCCTCTTCCTTCTCTTACTACTCATCCGTCCCGTCTCTTTTTAATCATCACCACCTCCTCCTCCTCCTCCTCCTCCCCTCTTCTTCTTCCTGGCCCCACACATCCGCCGGGCCACAAGAGGAGCTCCTCCTTGCTCCTGTGGACTTTAAAGTTGAACTTCTATGCGTCAAGGGGGTAAAAAAAATTATCATAGGCCACTTTTATGAGGTGTCTTATTGAATGGTTTCCGTCTTTGTAGGCCCCGACCCGACCCGACCTAACCTAACCAAACAGACGTCAGGGCCACTTAATCTACAGGCCATTAAAATTGAGGACGTGGTAGAGTTAATGGTAGTGAAGGAGCTTTGTTGTATCTGAAGAGAAGGGAATAACTTTGTTACATTTTTTAACCTGAGAAATAATAACAAAATGACCTTCTTATCCTCACCTGATATAACTGAATGAATGGAAAGGTAAATAGATATGTAAATAGATGGATGAATGAAGAAGTAAATTTGTAAATAGCTAAGTAATTACATTAATAAATTGATTAAATACATAAATAAATACATATATGTAAAACTACAATAATACTGAAATAAATAGATCCAGTAAAGGAATAAGGAGTAAATGAATGAGACAAATAAAAGATAAATGGTTAATAAACATAGAACTAAACATATGATAATATCGGCCTCTCTACCCCAGATGGACAAGGCTTAAAAGGTTGAGAAAAATGAACGTACAAATATTAGCGTATGTGTACACTTATATTTTTTAGGCGTGTGTGTGTGTGTGTGTGTGTGTGTGTGTTGCGGTGGCCGACTGGATACAGCATTCAATTCTTCTCCAAAGGTTTATATTGGTTTATGCTTGGGGCGCCCTTAGTCAATCCAGCTGTCAATGAGTACCTGGTTTTATATAGTAAGGGAAATGATGATGGTCGAGAATAGCTTATGGGAACTATTTTTATGACACAAACTATAGACAGTTTTTCTTCAGTCCACCACCAAGTGACGTCACCATCGTACGTAAGCTGATGAACCTTAAGTGTTTGTTTACGTCTCAGACTCGACATCACTTCAAACAGAGGAACGCCCAAGTGACCATAAGCCCATAAAGACCACCTTCTCGATACGTGGCCACGGGGTAGTCGCACTTGCAGGTGGGGTGATGGGGACGTGTGTCTTGCCTCAGGATATTCAGGTACTTGGCGAAATTTTTTAAGTATTTAGTATCTCAGGAGGTAACGTCTCTGTGTTTACCTCCCAGGCATTCACTACAGTGCTCTGACGGAGGGAGGAAGGGAGGGAGGGAGGGGAAAAGGAGGAAAAAGAAGAGAGGGAAGGAGGTAACAGGGGAAGACAGATAGAGGGAGACGGAGATAGGTGAGGGCAGGAGACAAAAGGAGGTAGAGATGTAATTCGGTGAGAGAATGAGAGAGAGAGAGAGAGAGAGAGAGAGAGAGAGAGAGAGAGAGAGAGGTTAGAGACAATGCAGCAAGAGGAGGAGGAGGTTGATCTCGTGAGCAAACACTCGTCCTCTGTCTGGCTCTCCGTGATCCCCGCCTCACCACCACACGCCCTCACAGCTCCTGACTGTTCTTTATGCAACAAAAGCGAGGCACTACTTATGACTTGGTTGTGTGTGGGGGGGGGTGGAGATGCGTGTGGGTGTGTGCAAATTGTTTATGATTTGGTAAGAAGTAAAGAAAACAACGTAGGTCTTTGTTTGTCCTAAATTGAGTGTAAATATTGAATAAAAGTGACAGACAGAAGCGACGAAGCGACATGTTGACCGCCAGGCTCCGGAGGTCCCCAGGCGCCATTGGGATAAAATGGTCCGTAACTCCCCTAAGATTTCTTGGGAAAATACTGACTCTATAAATGATGTGAGATTTTGTTGGGTTACCTTACAGGTCAAGTTTCGCACACACACACACACACACACACACACACACACACACACACACACCGGCTGCAACTCTATTAATAAACCGTTTATTATTATTATTATTATTATTACACACCAAACACACACACACCAAACAAACAGAGTGGTTAAGTTAGATTAGATTTGGTTAGGTTAGTTATTCTCCAAATACTCAATGTTCCTTTATCCATTATATACGGTAAACTGAATTTAGTTACAAGTCACAACACTATCCTCTCTCCCTTCAATAAATCGCCGGACGAGAAGTTTCCCCTGAATGCCAGCCACACAATCACTCCACCACATCTGCGTTTCTCATCCTCCAACACATTCGCCCTTGACCTAACCTTCACGTCACGGCGCGAGAACTCATCCAAATTTAGCAGCGATACTTGTCAACCCCTAAGAGCGAGGAGAGTGCAGTAATAAGTATCTAATGCGATTAAAACTGTGTATCTGGTCACCATTTCCATCAGGTCTCTCGTTCAATCTTCTTCACGATTCTGAAGGTTATGGCCGCCTTAGTTTGTATTTCTTCGTGATACAATACGTCTATTAAAAACTCCTTCTTTGTTTTCTGCTGTCTTTGCTATACACTGTGATTATTATTATTATTATTATTATTATTATTATTATTATTATTATTATTATTATACGACTCATCGCCAACATAAGAGGGGAGAGAAAACTTGCAGGATGGGTTAGGGGAACAATCTGTCATACCTGGAGCTCATCAGTGTGTCAGCATGAACCAGGTGATTTTCCTGCGCCAGCGATGGATGGCTGCTTCTCCCTCAACCCACCCGTCCTCCACAAGTAAATAGACTCTTGTTGAAAACGCTAGAGCCCAAAGTCTCCACCAAAGAGGCTTTACACATCGACCTTGTCTCACCTGGTGTATAAAACTGATTGAATTAGTGTGGGAGGCTGCGTGTGGGAAAATTTAATGAATTTTCCCTGATGAAAATCAAATATGTTTTAAAATAAAGGACGGGTCTTTTTTTGTCAGTTCTTTTCTTCTTTTTCCAAGGTGCGTGCGTGTGTATGTGTGTGTGTGTGTGTGTGTGTGTGTGTGTGTGTGTGTGTGTGTGTGTGCGTGAGCGCAGGTTTACACATACAGTACGTACATATATCACTAGAGGTTGTTATTGCGTTACAGAACCTCATAGCATACTGTACATCGACCTGTTATTTAACGTCACCACTCCCTGCACACCTTGCCTGATGGCTCCCCAGTCCTTATAGATCCTCACCTCACCTAACCTCACCTCACCTAACCTAACCTCACCTAACCCAACCTCACCTCACCTAACCTAACCTCACCTCACCTAACCTCACCTCACCTAACCTCACCTAACCTAACCTAACCTAACCTCACCTCACCTCACCTCACCTAACTTAACCTCACCTAGACATACACGTAACATAAACTGGGCTTCACCTTATAGCTCAACACTGACCTACATGTACTGTACTGTCAGGTAATACACACGTAACTCCACCTGACTTCACCTCTCATTACCATCACAAATTACTCCTTCACATGTCCGCCACAAGTCCACGTTCTCACATGCTCTTACGATAAATATTTCTCATAACTTTAAAAAATGTTATGAATGTTACACCTTAGCAAGACACGTTCAGTAGGTCCAGGTAAGGAAGAATATTATTATACGGAATATTTTTTTTTTTAATTTAACTGATGTTGAATTACTGTATCTAAGCATGGTTGAGTCACAGTGTAAGTTAATGTTATTTTTCAACGATATCTTCACTTACGAGGAATATTTCACCGTACGAGACTTTAAGACTCTGTACTGAGGTATTTCTAAGTCACGGGAAGTATATTACACTCGCACATATTATCGTGTGCAAGACCACTTCTTTTACTCTTTCTCTTTAATGCAAACCTAATCAAGTTATGACAACATGCTGAAGTGTATATCAATATGTTATGTTCCTGTGTTGGTTACATCACTGGTTCACAAATAGGGTGGTGGACGAGTGGAACAAGCTTAGCAACTTTGTAGTAAGTGCTGGAACGCTGGAGAGTTTTAAAAGGAGGCTGGATAGATTCATGGATGATAGAGAGTGGTAGTAACTCTCGACAGGAGCTGCCATGCACAGGCCAACCGGCCTATTGCAGACTCCTTATTTTCTTATGTTCTTATGTTTTAGGGATGACTGAGACTATATTAAACACAATGAGAATAAATGATATAAATGGTTAAGTCGACTGTCTTTTGTTTCCGATAGTATTTACTGTTTTAGGCCGTTATCTAAAAAAAAAAAGACAATCACGACGTAAACGCCTAGTTGTCTATACTTTTACTCAATATATAGATAAACAATAACGCCATTAGCCCATCGTATTCACTACAGGGGTAAATAAAGTTTCATTTTATTGTCGGTAATTGGAGAGTAGACGGAGTGGTGTGTGAGTGTGTCTGTGTGTGTGTATGTAGCCCCCCACCTGGACACTTTCTCAGTGTAATGGGAGAGTCTCTACCTGACGAAGGCGTGGGCTTACGTGACATGTTCCTCCACATCGATCCATTTCCCGAAGAAAAAAAAATAGCAAGAATTTAGTTCAACATTTTCTGATCTACAATATATCAAAATTTTCATACATAAGACATCAAAAAGTCATCATAGATATTATTTTTTAACATTTTCACTACAGGGGCGCTACTTTTAATGTTTAATTTGGTTAATGTCAGATAATTGTGTTCAGCTCAGAGGCGACACCGTATACAAGGGGTGTTAGTAGATTATCTCCAATCAATATCAAGAGAGAAATTTTGAACACCTAATTTAATTACTGCTGGGCGGTTTGGGGGTTAGTTTTCCGTTTCATTTGGGAAGATTGATAAATAAAGGTATTTTTGAGAGAGAGAGAGAGAGAGAGAGAGAGAGAGAGAGACCACCAACATAACATCAACTAGGGGAAGAAAATCCTTTACAGCACAACACTTACTAGGACTGTCAGCTACAAGCAACACTCGCTACAACACTCCCGCAGCAACACACACATTACTTCTATAGTAGAGTAAAATAGTGATAAAAAGAACAAAAATACTGAAGCATTAAACTCATCTCGGATCTAATTAGGTCGTTAACTCCCACCAATTTTCATAAGATTTTCACATTTTGCGGTCCAAGGAATCCCGTCCACCTACAACGTGATGAGTGATACATTTGTTGTCGAAATATCATGTTTACAACTAGGGGATATGGACGGACGCAACCATGGACGGACGCAACCATGGACGGAAGCAACAATGGACAGACGCAACCATGGACGGACGCAGCCATGGACGGACGCAACCATGGACGGACGCAACCATGGACGGACGCAGCCATGGACGGACGCAACCATGGACGGAAGCAACAATGGACAGACGCAACCATGGACGGACGCAGCCATGGACGGACGCAACCATGGATAGACGTCACCATAGACAGACGCAACCATGGGCAGATGCAACAATGTACGGACGCAAGAAGGGATTCAAAGGCACAAAGACACGCACGGACGTAAAGGCAAAAGGACGCACGAAAGGCACAAGGACACACGCAAGGACACAAAGGCACAAGGACACACGCAAGGACACAAAGGTACAAGGACGCACTTTCAAGTTCCACCTGCAGCTACGCAAGAGGTTACGACAAAGGCCCCGACATCAAAGAACACAAACCAACCTACTATCGCCAGGCGTAATTAGGGACCATCTTAGTTTATACTCTACTTTCTCTGCTCAAACATAAACAAACATCCTCTATTGTTTGTTTGTTTTTTACTTTCTCCGGTTTATACTTTCCCCCCTCCCCAGCCCCCCCCTCCCCCTCCCCAGCCCCCCCTCACCCCTTATTTTGTTTATGTCCCTTGAGGTTAGTTATTATATAAGAGGAGAAGAGAGTTTTGACTGGACGTGTTGCTACTGGTTGCACACAAGTGTTAGGTAAACGAGACACACTCCTGGACAAGGGACTGCTTGTAGGGCTGCCTCGTTGACACACTCTTAAGTTCACTCTATCGTCGACGCAATCTTATGTTCACTCTATCGTCGACACACTCTTGGGTTTACTCTATCGTCGACACAATCTTAGGTTCCTCTATCGTCGACACAATCTTAGGTTCATCGTCGACACACTCTTAGGTTCACTCTATCGTCGACACACTCTTAGTTCACTCTATCGTCGACACACTCTTAAGTTCACTCTATCGTCGACACACTCTTAGGTTCACTCTATCGTCGACACACTCTTAGGTTCACTCTATCGTCGACACAATCTTAAGTTCACTCTATCGTCGACACACTCTTATGTTCACTCTATCGTCGACACAATCTTAAGTTCATTCTATCGTCGACACACTCTTATGTTCACTCTATCGTCGACACAATCTTAGTTCACTCTATCGTCGACACACTCTTAAGTTCACTCTATCGTCGACACACTCTTAAGTTCACTCTATCGTCGACACACTCTTAAGTTCACTCTATCGTCGACACGCTATAAAATTAAATAGAATATAATACCTAGTCTTTAAATAACCTCTAGTGGGGATATAAATAAAAAATAGCCATCTGTAAATAACCAGAAAAAAAATAGCCATCCTTACCTAGCTACTGTCGTTAAACGGTGGGGAAAAAATAGACGTTTTCTATAAATTTGGCCTTTTTTTTAAGCGGAGAAAAATAGCCCACTTTAACTAACTAGAAAAATAGTTCTCTCTAAATGGCGGGAGAAAAATAGCTATCTCTAACAAGCTAACATAGTAAAACATCACAGGGTTAGAGAAATCGGCCGTAAGGGACTTATTATATTGAGTTTTATTTTGTAAGTCTGTTTTGATTGGCTATTGCGGGGATATAGGGTTAGAGGAGTCCTATCTCTGTCTGTCTGTCTGTCTGTCTGTCTGTGGCACGAGGGCAAGGATGTAGAAATTAGGAGAGAGAGAGAGAGAGAGAGAGAGAGAGAGAGAGGTTAATAAAGTCGAAGAAAAACAAAGCAACGGAGAGTGGAGATTCATTATGTGAATAAAAGGAAGAGGAAGGAAGAGGTTAATCAAGGGAAGAGAGAGAGGCGGAGAAGAGAGGCAGCGGATATTAAAGAAGATGATTAGAAAGCGAAAGAAGAATTGGCATAAAAAAGAAGTGTAATCGGAGTTAGTATGTCACAGTAGTTAGTATGTTACAGTAGTTAACTTGTCACAGTAGTTAACATGTCATAGTAGTTAACATGTCACAGTAGTTAACATGTCATAGTAGTTAACATGTCATAGTAGTTTACATGTCACAGTACTTAACATGTCATCGTAGTTAACGTTTCACAGTAGTTAGCATGTTATCGTAGTTAGTGTGTCAAGCGTGTAGTAAGTTCAGGTGTTCTGATACTTTCACCTTGTTACCTGCTGTTAATGGTATAGGAGTCCATTTACCTGGGCAGGTGTGGGTGGGAGTATGCAGGTATGTACTGTAATTTATGCTTTATGAGGACTGGGTCAGGAGATTATAATGGGTGAGGGAGCTTTGGAATGATGTATGTGTGTGTGTGTGTGTGTGTGCGTGTGTGTGTGTGCGTGTGTGTGTGTGTGTGTGTGTTTGGTATACATTGCTCTGTATGACGTAAATCGCTCACTCATGGTAGCGAGCAAAATACCTCTGCCCGAAATGGCTCCGTGAAACACAATCTCACACAGTGCCTTGCTCGCCTCGGCAATTTGCACCACCAGATATGTCAATAGAGAGAGACAGAGAGAGAGACAGAGATGGAGAGAGATTTACTGAGACAAATACTGAGACAGACTGACATTGAGAAAGACAGAGAGAGATAGAATTAAGGTGAGAGAGAGAGAGAGAGAGAGAGAGAGAGAGAGAGAGAGAGAGAGGGGGGGGGTTTCTGTGCTAAAGCCAGGTTACCTACACTCCTCCATCGTCTATAAGAAACTCACCTTCAGTAGCCGACATCTTCATTTCATCTTCCAATCGTCATCCTGAACGTGAACCCAAACAAAAAAATATCCCACTTGTATCTTGTCTGAGATGCTAAAATGACGCCTTGTATTCCTCGCAGTGAGCACAAGAGCACCGTGTTCCTCTATCAAGGGACACTCAATGCCATTACGTGGACTGGAGAGACACTCACTGCTGTTCTTTCAAGTCACGACGGCACCAGAGACGCGAGGTGGATTCATACCTGCTTCACTAATGGTCTTTTTTTCTGTTTTAAAGACATTTTGATTGTGTTTCTGGTACGTTTTCTATTTTGTTTTGTAATATGTGATGTGAGAGTATAGAACGCGTGAGTTAGACGCGTGAGAAAGGCGTGAGTGTTGGGTGCGACAGGCGGAGTCGACGACACTTGTTGCCCGTGCTGGAATGTCAGGGAGACTGTGGCCTTCCAGTCTGACCCGGCCTCGCTAGACACGCCACATACACACACACACACACACATACATACACGCCTCCCTTCCCTGCCTGCCCGCGCCTTCCCATGCCTGCCTGCCAGTCCCTGCCTGCCTGTCTCTACAACCCTGCCAATCCCACGCCCTCACTCCTGCCTGTCTACTCCTCTCCACGCCCGCTTTTCTGCCCACGCCTCATCACACCACCTCTCCCGCCCATACTGGTCCACATCCCCTCTCACCCGCGCCTTCCCATGCCCTATCTATCACCCGATGTGTAAACTATTATGCATGTATTTATTTGTTCATTTCTATTTACTTAAAGAACAGTGTACACGTGGACACCATAGCAAGCACACACACACACCTCTCTCTCTCTCTCGCTCTCTCTCTCTCTCTCTCTCTCTCTCTCGTAGTCCTATCCGCCCCAGCATCTAACATTAAAGTCAATCTTTATCCTGTCTTTTAAATTTACTATTAACAACGATGGATAAACTTCACGACGGAAAACTTAACAGCAGTATCTATTAACACTTCAATGTTTAGTTCTCAAAACAAAGATCCAAGATAAAACTCTTTTAATTATTATGTCATAAGATATCGTCACTGTTTCGTTTGTTTTCACTTTTTATGAACCAAAAACAATTTCCAATATTTTTTGTTGTGTTTACATTGTCCTAATCTTATTTTCTTCTTCTTTAAACATAACAAAAAACATCTTAAAGGATACGAGTAAACACGAATAAAATATGAAATAAAATGATGTGTTAGAATGAAAATAAGATGAAGATGGGAACTTTAACGTAAGTCGATATTGTGAATCTGTAGAGGGATATAAATTATATCAGGATTACAATATCAAGAATCACTTTGTACCAACAGAATCGGATACCTTAAACACGAATAAGTTAAAGAGTTTATAAATACCGACTCTTGGTTTTAGAGTCAGTTTATAAATCAACAGTTTAATGAATCAGGATTGAGGTGAATGAACGCAGAATCTCTCTAACATAACCGGTTTATATCAAGGGAGTCAGTAGAAACATGTCGACCTCGGCAAGAGAGAGAGAGAGAGAGAGAGAGAGGATGCAGGGATTTAAGCGGTGGAGGACCCGGGTAGTGGTGGTGGTTGGAGAATATTTTGTTGTTGAGATTTAGGTGATGCATGATGTAGCAACAGTACTGGAGGGAGACATTTTCTATAGAGGACATTTTAGAAATGTCCCAGAATCACTTTACGAGGACATTTACCTCGGAGAATATTTTAAGAAGGATCGCTATAATATATCTCATGTTCAGGGAAGAGAAGTATTGATGGTGTCTCTAGTAGCCAAGTTGACAGTGGGGAGACATTGTGTGTTGCATCAGACAGAAGAGAGAAAAATGTCCAGGCAAAGTCCCGTGTGGAATTGTAATCCAGATAACTATGTCAAGTCCTCAAACAAATCCCATATTCATTAGTATTAAGTCACCACCGTAAAAACAATAAACATTTTATTACTTTTAAATGAATGGCTCAGAGGGAGAGATCAGACAAGTGGGACACGTATCATTGTCAGATTTATTCATCGAGGTGAAAAGGAATTCTGAGTGTGTGTGTGTGTGTGTGTGTGTTCAGAATCACAGGTTGTGTTTCACTGTAAGAAAGTTTTGGGTCTGTTTTCGTGTTGTTGAAACAAATATCTGGAAAATTATCTTCCACAATGATCGAGATGACATTTGAAGATAAAAACTATAGACGCCAGGATGAACACGACAGCCTGAGTCGCTAAGCCAAGGGCGACTGACATTATCATCTACGTAGAATGACCTTTGAAGTAGTATACAGTACTTATTAAATGTTACGTCAGCGTGAGTGAGGCTGACGGCAATGATACGAGTCTCACACACACACACACACACACACCACTGGGTCTAAGGTAAAAATCAGCTTCACGGAGCCTTTAATTGAACTGTTGGAGTGGGAGATGAGTCAGACCAACAGATCCTCTCGTACACAAACACTGGCGACGGAGGGAGAGGAAATAACTCGCCTGTCACACGGAAAACTTGTAGTGGGTCTGTTGTTGGGTTTATGAGCCAGTCACCACCCTCACACCTTCCAGTCACCTCCGTCACACCTTCCAGTCACCTCCGTCACACCTTCCAGTCACCACCCTCACACCTTCCAGTCACCTCCCTCACACCTACCCCAAGCCTCTCACTCATATCTCTTGGGCCCTCTTCACACCTATTGTACCTTACACCTTCCTCATACCTTCCTCACACCTCTCTCACACTTCCCTAATATCTATCATATCCTTTATGTTGTACTCAGTGAAAATATTAACCTAATGTATAGAGTTTGTGTAAATATGGCGGCATTATACACGTTACCGCGGATGTTAGCTTTGTGCGTTACCATAACCTAAAACAGTCACTTGGTCTTATGGCTTCTGTTATGACGATAGATCATTGTTGGAAGCTTTTAGAGAATATAAACCCGGTCTAGCATAATGGGTCTTCTATGACTACATCAGTGACACCCATCATTCCCCTCCCCCTCTCCACCTTCCTCTACCTTACCCATCCCTCATCCCTCCCCTACCCACTCCCCCTGCTCCCCACCCCCTATCATCCCCCTCCCAATCTCCTCTTCATCCCCACCCCCCTCTACCTCTTCCCCTCCCCTATCCCCCTCGAATTCCCCCATACTTCATCCCCCTCTCTTTACCCCCTCCCCATCCCTATCCACCTCCCCATACCATCTCCACCATCCCCACCCCCCTCCCCAAATCCCCCCTCCCCGCCATTTCCACACACAGTCATCGTTAAGGTAAATGACCCGGATTTGCATCACTTAGCATCTTGACCTCGCCGGATGATAGCCAATCACTTCCAAGGTTCACTTCGTTAACGTCAATTTCGCTGTGAAAGAAGAGGCAAAAAAATAACTTAATGACTTGAATTAAGAATTAAACACCTTTACTCACCCGACTCACAGCAAGGCAGGTTAACAGTATCAACGTTGTAACTCCTGGGTATGACTCAACACTTGCAATATTGTGATAAATTTTGTCAGTTCTATACTTATTTTTTTCTTCCTTTGTATTAAACTTGTTATTCTTCAAAATTTCGTTTTTTAATCATGAATTTTCGTTCGGCTTTTGGTGGTCAAGGAATAAGAAAGTTTCCGATGAAAATGGTCTAATGTTGTGTGTGTGTGCGTTTGTTTTTCTGTATGCATGTGTATGTGTGCGTGTATATATGTTCTTACATCGCTGACAAATAACTCCCATAATAATGTATCCTGAATAAGACAACTGTTGCAATCTAATATACTATAGGACTAGCTGTCTGTCTGTCTGTCTGTCTGTGTGTCTGTTCTGGGCAGCCGAAACGGCACAATCGTTTTTCATTAAACTTGGTGGAAAAATCGCAAAAACCTGGAACAAACCTGGTCCCATGTCGATGTTTATTTAGGAGGGCATTAATTAACCATTTTATTTATGCTGGAAAACGATGTCGCTGTACGCTGTTAGCCGGACGGCGGTTGCACGCTAGCCAAGCACGAGCGTTCGAACTTTCACGCCTCGGTAAACTGTACCACTGGACTCGCCACCGGGCACGAAGGGCTCACGATCACTTGTAACTCTCTATGACTTATTATTGACATATACCAATAACACCTGTAACTACTTGTGTTGTCCAGGTATACACGTGTTTATATACTCCCCCAACAATACAGGTGGCTGCATTTATAAGGTTCCTTGCAAGGAATGTAATATGTTTTACTAAGGCCAGACAGGTAAAGATCTTGTAACTAGACTTAAACAACATAAATATAGTGTTAGGACAGGCCAGGAATCCAATGCTCTGTTTGTTCATTTGAGGGATAATAAGCATTGCATTGACTGGGATAATGCCTCCTCAATATTACCTTGTAATTCAATTGACAGTAGGAACATTATAGAATCTAGTCTCATTAAACATACCGAATCAGTCAACATGAATTTGAGTAATGGTATGTACAAACTGGATAATTTCGTAATTAAGAAGATTTGTAACCAGGTGAGAAGGTTGGGTCAGCTTACCCTCTGGCCTGACTACCGACTGCTGCGGTGCTTTTTGAAGGTTAGTAGGGTCATTACCTAATACCTGACCATTGTGGACTTGATCTCACCCTCCTCTGTATATATACACCTTGTTTTGTACTTCTCCTTAGTCTGTACTCACCCCTGAAGATGTGAATTACACGAAAGCGCTTGGTAATTTCGTGTTTTCTTCTTTCCTTGTGGTTTATCAGCATATACCTGGATCACGCGCACCTACAGTGATTTACTTGCATATATATATATATATATATATATATATATATATATATATATATATATATATATATATATATATATACCCGTATAATGGTGTAACAGGGAAAGGGTATAACACGTGATATAATGTCCTTCAGAGTCCTACAACTCACTCAGAGAAGCTATTAATAAATGTGTTAAACTTGTGCAGAAGGTCGACCAATACCTGGAGTGAAGGAGGGGGTGGGGAGCTAGTGGGGAAGGCTGACATGTTGTGACGTGTTGGGAGTCATGGTGGGTCTGCTAACGACTGCTGACTGGCGTTTACTGCAGTTTGGGCAGTTACTGAGTTAGACTTGTTGACAACACTGTCACGCCAGCCTCCTCCTCCTCCCTTGTGTGTGTGACTGTGGAACTCCAAGAAGAGTGACCATGTGCAGAGGGATTTAGTCGATGTATACATATAAATGACATATCCATCGCCAATAGTGTATGTCCACATGACCACACAACCACTAATATAAACTTCCTGACAGTTTAATATCTATTGTTGATAATAACAGCGTCCCAGTGAGCACTAGATCCGGGTATTATATGAACACCAAGGATCATCCGACCTTATTCTCAAGGACTTTGCAATAATTCGTCTTTACGACTTTGTTAACGAGTTTCTATTTTTTATTAT